TCCTCCACAATTTTATTATTTTCCCTCCTCCTCCACCTCCTCCTCATTTCCATTGTTTTGATAGGGTCGATGTAGGGGCGCGTGGAGAACTCGCATGTAAGTCGTGTAAGGAAATTAGTTTGTAAGTAAATCATTGGTCGAATTTAATCGTGGCTTGTTTCCTGACTCGACGCGCACGACTTACACGCGAGATCTCCACGCGCGCCCAGGGAAAAAACACAGGCTAAAAAGGTGCCCTTTCTGCCCTTTCTGCCCGATCTGCCCTTGAAAATCAACAATAAATTCTAAATTTTTCGTTCTATTTCCGATAACTGGTGGGCTTTAGTTAAATGATTTGCTAATCAAACGAAAAATTTAGAATTTATTGTTTATTTTCAAGGGGCAGATCTGGCAGAAAGGGCAGAGAGGGCACCTTTTTAGCCTGTATTGATAACTAACATAATCCTCCTCCTCCTTTCTATTGTTTTCTTTCGAAAAGGCCAAAGAGGCCAAAATAAAACATCGACCCCACATCGACCCTACATCGACCCCACATCGGCCCTTCATCGACCCTACATCGACCCTATCAAAACAATAGAAATGAGGAGGAGGTGGAGGAGGAGGGAGAATAATAAAATTGTGGAGGAGGGAATAATAACATTGAGAAGGGAAAATAACGAAATTGAGGAGGAGGGAATAGAAAAAATGAGGAGGGAAACGTGGTAAACAAAGATAGCTTGCTTTCTTTGACTATTTTAATAGATTTCTTTCAAATCGCTGTGTATTTGACTCTTTTTGTTTTAAACGGTATCTCGTGTCTGATTTTATTGCTAGCAATTATTAGTCGCGTGTTTAATCAATTGATCCTTGTTAAGTTATTTGTTTTATAATAATACGTCAATATGGTCCCTTGAGGTTTTTCCTGTAGAGCTCATTTGTATTCAACTTTGGGCTTGTGAACTCGCATAATTACCTAACTAATGACGCGTGAAACGTTAAGACTTCAATAGTTTTTCATTCCCTCGAGATAGAAAGGAGAAAACAGTTCTGTAATAGTCAGACAAACTTGAAATAAAGCGTTTTCAGCTCCCCTTTGTGTATGTCTTGTTTATATATATCCGAGTTTTAGCGCTAAATATAAGATATAGGAAGCTGTTTCTCGCGTTGCTAGGTGATTGCTCTTATTTTCCTTTTAATTAAGTTACTTACCGGGCAAGTCTAGGCAAGCCTATTGTTCCTATTGTAGTAGAGAAACACTCATTAGTAAACCTATACCGAATAAGTATGCAGGGCGACACTTAATTAGTATGCAGGAAATCCAAATTAGTATGCGGGAAGGCAGTGAGCAGGCTTTTATGCCGTTCAAACAATAAAAATACGGCAACCAACCAGAAGGCTTCGTCAAACGAGACAGCCAATGAGCGTTTTTCTAATTCCGGTCAACCAATCAAAACAACTATGACATCATAGTACCCCGGAATACATATGACATCATCTTCCGAAAATAACTAAAACCTGTCAAACCGGTTATACCAACCATGACCGCCACAAGATAAAAATAGAACATGACATCATTGATAAACCCGTCAAACTGGATATACTTAATGAGATTCCACCGCAAGGTAATGAGATCTCTGCGCATTTTATTCATGAGATCAAGACAATAGCCTATGACGTCACCTAGTTAATGTATTCCTGCGCACGCTAATGAGATTCCTGTGCAAAAAAAAGGATAATTCGGTGCGCCCTATACTACTAGGAGGGGCGCTAATTTGAGGCTGGGCGCTTATTCGAATAAATACGGTATTCTACTTGAGCGTCGAGCACTTTTGGCGCTTTGTTATTGATCAGCAGGAACGGATTTGGTAGTACTAACTTATCAACTGCTTTTAGACTGCGAATTTTTTTTCTTTCTTTTTTGTTTTCTTTCTTTTATTTTTTCTGTCAGTTTCTACCGTATTTTTTAGACGTATTTTTCGATCCTCTCCCCAGTCTCACTCACTCTGTCCCCTCCCCCCCCCGCCTCCCCTTTTCCGAAAAAAAAAAAACAACAACAACAACAACAATAAAAATAGGGAAACAAAATAGAGTATAATACTAAAGCTAAGAAGAATCTTTGAACGAACGAATGGGAACACCTAAAAAGGAAACTTTCCTTATCCTCCGTAGCCTTAGTCCATGAAACGTAGACGCCCAAGCGGGCCTCCAAAACCTTACCTTTGTCTTTGCCACAAACCGAATAAGACTGAAAGCCTTAGCCTTAGTTTACTGGGGTAGAGGAATAGCGAGTTTTCTGTGTCTCTTAATAAGTAATTAGAGATATTGCAACATTCTGCCCTTGCTACGATCTACTATGCACCTCAAGGTACTTAAGATATATGACGCATATTCTGGGATACACTCGCCTCTCACCGCTCTTTGACGAAATGTTCCTAGCGGCAGATAGCGATGACAGGAAGCTGTATCGCAGGCTTTTGGACACAAGGCTTTTCTACTATTTACATGGGTAAACCGGTCGCTCAACGGTTTTGGCAAATGGTGAGGAGAATTCAGGACTGATTAATTTTGATTCCGTTCGGTAATCGCGTTTACCATTTGCCTAAGTCAGTTTCGTTTAACGAAAAACGGCCGCGAAAGCCTGAAACTGATATTCAAAAAAGGTTTGAAGACATGAAATACGAACTTCCGCCTGAAAGTTTCCAACCAGGAAGACCAGGAAAATAGGCGAATGCCTTTTCAGACGTTCCGTATGTTTCAGGAATTTTCCACTGAAACGTCGAAAGCAACCCGAAACTGAGTTAATGGTAAGCCTTGCAAAGCACTAAAGTGTCCTCTTAGTTTGTTTTAATGGGTCATGTATATAGTCATGCAGTAGCTTCATGATTCATACACGTTGTCATACAAGTATATAGGCTCCTCTTTGGCATCCACCTAGCTCTTTTTTTTTTGAACCGGGGCAGGGTTAGTTTAGTCGGTAGAGCGTGTTCACTGCAGAGCGGGAGGTCGTGGGTTCGATTCCCGGGGCCGGACCAATACTCAGGGTCTTAAAATAACTGGGAAATGAAGGTACTCCCTTTGCACTGCAACAGGCTAGACCTTCGCGTGGCTCGGATGACCACGTAAAATGGCGGTCCCGTCTCCAGTTGCAGAATATAGTGTCCCCAATTAGTACTTTCGTGCTAAATACATTGACACTCAAATAAAGTGCATTTTTTTTTGAGAGCCCGCAAGGGTAAAAACTTCGAAAAGAACTATTGCACCAATACTTAGTCTAAAATATTTTTATTCTTTAAAATTGCTTCAAGGAAATTAGACTTTATAAACCAAATGGCATTGATTGGCGATGATTTAATTCGTAAATATCTCTCAATGCAAAAATTCATTCAGTAATCAGTTTTAGTTTTTAGATTTTGTTCTGTTTATATACCATTTTTTGAGGGAAATCGCCAGTCTGAAACTGAACATGAAAGTGTGTGGCGCTATCCCAGGGACCCTATATGTTGTATCTAAGGAAAATGCTGCAATCAATGAGAATCATAGGTTTACTGAACGATTTAATTTCGAATTGGCTTTTAATCTGCCTTTAAGTAAATTGTTTAAAGCATATCTGTAGGCAACACTGGCGTGACGGGCCGTGTCACGCTATTTTTACACACTGCAATGTCGCGTTTTTTTGCAAAATTAGGGTTGAACTCAACGTCTTGCGGGCTACTTAAAATCGTTTGCCCAGAGATTTGTTTCGATTTTCTGATAGATTGGGGCCTAGTAAGCAGTAGAAAGTCAATTTTCTGAATTTTAAGTTATAGCGCATTGTAAAAATTTGCATTTTTTATCCGTATAATTTTGAACGGTAGAAATGGTCAATAGGGAACTATTTTTAACAAACCTTTTTGGCCACAACATTATTACAGCTTTCACAAATTTATCGACTTATAAGAAAGAAAGGGTCATAAAAACTATTCGTGTTTTTAAAGGCTGCCAAATCGTTGTGGTTTGACGTACGAGTCAATGGAATTTGTGTAAAATTTCGCTTTACCGGAAGTGGATTTTGAGCTCTGAACGGACAAAATGCGTTTTCTCGAATTTTAACAAAAGAATACGTTATTTGGGAAAACTAACTACAGAATGTTTCATTACTCATTAAGGGTTATCGATGAGCCAAATATAAGCGAAATCAAATTTTGAACTTGTGCCGACCGTGGGTCGATATTTACGGAAAGCCGCTCTTAACTTCTGAGACGTCAAAGAACGAGTGGTGTAAAACGGGACGTTTTAAAGCAGACGACAGCAGTGAAATTGTTGTAATTTGTTGTAATTTGTTTACCCACAGATCACTAAGGAGTTCATAACAACTCGCTGAAACGTGTCCGTGCGTTCCAGATCGAATTGGAATTTGGAAGTGTTGGTTTTTAAGGAGAGGGGAAAACCGGAGTACCCAGAGAAAAACCTCTCCGAGCAAGGGAGAGAACCAACAACAAACTCAACCCACATATGGTGTCGACGCCAGGATTCGAACCCGGGCCACATTGGTGGGAGGCGGGCGCTCGAAAAAAGAATTTTTCTAAAACACAAGACAAAACACTGACTCTTCCCTGTCAATTATGGACGAGTTAGGCATAAATGCGTCCGTCCCAGTTTACGGTGTCCCGTTTTTATACTAGACGCATACAACGTCTTAGACCCTAAAGTCGTCTGTTAAGTGCGTCTGAACCACTCACTTAAATGGAGACGTTAAAGTCGTTAGACATTAGATGTCTTATTAACCGTTTTTATAATAGACGCAAAAGTCGTCCTAAGATGTCGACACTGACGTCTCTAGCATGAAAACGGCCATTCCTTATTAGTTCTTTGAATGGAGCATTATACATTTCTGGGAAACTGCCCACTTACTCCTCCTCTAAGCGCACATTTTGCCCCAACTGAGAAGTAAGTGTTAATGTTGGCTTAAGGGAGGGGTAGGTGGGAAGTTTCCCAGATACGTATAATGATCCGATCTTTCCTTATTTCATTACACTAGCTGTATGTTGTTTGTTGCAGGTGGTGGTTGGTGGGCGTTGGCTAGTAACGCACGTCTTTATTTTGAAGATGACTATAGTAGCAAGCGCATTGGCAGTTGGTGTGCAGTGGATAGAAACCCGCAGTGGCTGAAAATTGACTTGGGTCAGATGAAAACCATCACCGGAATCGCCACCCAAGGTTATAAACTGAAAGTCATAATTGCACTGTACACATACACTGTAAATAAGAAAGCTCTCTTTTAGCCCTAAGAGTGGGGCCGTTTCGGTGAGTCCAATACAGTCCTATTTTTGGCGTCTAATTTGGCTTCCTTAAACAGGGCCAATACAGTTTAATTACCTAGGGCTGATTTGGACCCAAAGGCTAAAGTGAGTCCCAGCGTGGGCGGGAACAGCTTTGATGGGGCTGTTTGGGTGTAAATTGTGCTCAAATGACTCGAGGAGATCCTGAATCAGACTCTGGCCTGAGAGGCTGAAGTGGCACTTTGGGGCTGGAAAAGATCTTTTTAATTTACAGAGTAGGTTAACCTTGTGTTTCTCGCAGGAGTAAAAAATCTGAAGCTTGTCCGATGATCTCTGAGCTTAGTCGGAAATCTCAGTATTAACAGCAATAAGAAATAGCAGGAAATCATTTATATAGCGCATCATATATATCCTTTCCGTTTATGGCGCTTTACGATATAAAGGAGGCGTTCGTTAAAGACTTAAAAAAGAATCAATCACGTAACATGTGTAGGGTGCTCGTCTGGGGTCTTGCCTTAAAGAACGACTTGTTCCAATTCAATTTAACTTATTCTTTTCTTAGGACGTGACGTATTTACCGAACATGTCGCGAACTACGAGCTTGCCTTCAGTGCTGACGGCAGCACGTGGAAGAACTACGAGGAAAATGGACGATCAAGGGTGAGATTAATCTGGTACAAGGAACTAAACATTATATGGGCTTAGTGTCTTTTAAAACAAAATAATATTTTACCCTGTCTCAGGCTTTCCTCCCCTTTACAAAGTTGAAAATCATTAAAGTTTAAGCGTTGCAAAATTAAAGCAAGCCTTTTAAACAGCAAGCGAGGGGTTTATACTGTCGATACTAATAAGAAAATCAGAGAAGTTCCAAGGATTTTTAGCTGATGTTGTTGCTATCATTCACGGTTAGATTGTACTTAAGCTTTAACGTATTTTCGTATCTAGGTATGTGACGGTAACTGTGACAACTTCACACCGGTTTTAAACAGGTTTAATCCGGTTCAAGCTCGTTACGTGAAAGTGCTGCCCCATGATAATCCTTCCTCCTGGGTGTGTATGAGGGTTGAGCTGTATGGTTGTGACCCTTGAGGTAAGTTGCTTTGATTCCAAATCAAGGTTGTTATTGCAGTGCAACACTATGGGGTTTCTCCAGAGAGTCTAATTAAAGTTCAAACCGCCTTGAACAGCGCAATGAAAAGCATGCACGTCAGGAAGCTTGGCAGCTTTTATTCGAATAGTAGTCACACTTTAAACTCTGAAGTTAGGACTACATTGTTCAGCGGAATTAAATACTAATCCTATAACAATAAATTAAAAAACCAAACATCCTGAGCAGCAATATATAGCCAAATTCGGAGAGTGGAAATACGAAGTGAGACTGCACTGCATTATTTCTAAGACCTCCTAAATACTTATATTTTTATTGCATTTGTTATTACAGGAATAACGGCAAGAAAATTTAGTGCAGCACGTGGAATAAATGATAGACAAGTATACAATTATGCAGAGAAGTTCTAAATTCTATTTATCTTCACTGGAAGCAATAAACCTGAAACTTTATGTTTGCATTGTGATGTGAAATATACATATGGTACGCATGGAGAAATTTGAATTTAACGTGTGTACTAAGATCTTATTTTGATCTCGATGAGACAGGTCACCCCCAGGGGTAGGGGGAAAGGGTATACCTCAAGCTACAGGTATATACTTTGTAACAAGGGGATGCTCTGCCCGAAAGGGCTTCCATTTTCAAGTAGAAGAGTGTAGGGAGGATTGCACGAATTGAGGAGAGAACTAAAAGTGCATCCAAGAAAACTCATTTTTAGGTGTTCAAAACAGTCTTAAAAGTGCCTCCATATAATCAAACGGTTGTCCATTTGAATAATTCAAAAGGCTACTCGAGAGAAGAGCTTCTTAAAGTCACTCAGTAAAACAAAAGATTTCTGTTTCTGGTTTGTGAAAGCGTTCCCACCTTCTTTGGAGGTTTACCCTGCGATCAAAGGCCCTTCCAGATCAAAGTGTAATGGAAGTTATTACTGTCACAAAAAATTATTTTAGGATTACTTTCATCTTTGATGCAGTGATATGTAGTATTAACTGTTCAGCACTTTTTGAAAATTTGTATATAACTGTTATCTTTTTTCGTGTTGAATATCAGTAATGTTCTTTTTCGTCAAAAGTGGTGTACAAAATGATATAGCTTCGTTCATCTGGGGAGAGAAAATCTTTGTTCATTACCTTGAGTACCCCCCCACCCCCGCCACTCTGGGCAATTGAGACAAAATGAATCGTCAGTTATGTCACTATGAAAGAGTCCATATCAAATGACCAAGAGAATAAAACCACACAGTGAACAAACAGCTTTGGTGTTGGTGATGGATGAAATTACAGCACCTGCAGACTGTCTATATACAGGCTACACCAAGCGCAAACAGAGTGTTCCAAAAACTATGACAAGCCTGAATACCAATATAAACAGAATTCGAAACCTTAATTCAGCCATCAAAATTGTTCGGAAACTTACAGGGATTAAGTATCATTACACGAGCTCACGTTGGTTATGAGTATGCTATGATGATCTCATCTAGCTAACGGGCGTGGGTTAAAAAAATGTGTTATTGAAAACAATTAATTATTGGTTAACTTACATTTAACAACAAGCATTGTTAAATGTAACCAGTTATTTCAAATTTCGAAAAGCAGAAGACTCCTTATCTCGCGAATAGTGACGTGTAACGGACTTTGGGTGCCAGAGATTTTTTTCCATTTCCTAAATCCAGATAGTTCGCGGCGAAAAAGCGCCAAAGAAAAGTTTTTTGCAAGCTCAATATCTTGAGAACGGACCTCTGGAGCCAAGATAACAAGGTGTAATACGGTCCAAATAATAGCCAATCATAGCTCTAAAAGTAAGGCATTTTGCTTTATGTTTTAGATTTTGACAACAACATAAAACTGATTCTCAATAAGAAGATATCATTTTGGAAAAATTTGCTTAGAAATTATATGCAGTATGTTAAGTAAAATTCACTTGGCAGTGTTTGTGCTTAATAACTAAGTTTAGCTAGACTTAAAATCCCTTTGAGGCCTTTAATTTATATGTAATACGCAATTTCCGATGACAGACACCGCAGGAGAAATTCTTGCCAACCATGGACCAAAGGTGAACATATCTTTAGGCTGTACTACAACAGAAATTATTGAGATTTGCGCACTCCTCCCCCGATTACAGCTCAGATTCTACCTGTCAATAATTTTTGTCGATTTAATTGTCAAAACAGCAAAAAGGTGAGACACCAGCCTCTTGCATCTGATTGACGCTTGAGGTGTAATTATACTACTATTTTGTTACGGTCTATAACCAGCTGACGAGGCTGATCATGTTCAAATGACACAGTTACTCGCCAGATAGAAACTAACATTTCTTCTTAAAAACAACATTACCTGATACGTTGACAAAACCAAAAAGTAACTATTTAGACATGAAATAAGAGCTGCACGTAGAATTTCCGAAAACAATGCCTGTGGATCTTAAACACAAGCATAGTTTGAACAGCCGGTGAGTTGTTACCTGATGCCTTAGAAACCTGTGTAAATGAAAGATACGATAAACAAATGTGTAAGGGGGACAGCGAGACTTGATAATTCAGTTCTATTGGACACCCACAAGTGATAGCCTGGCACCTAATTTATTAAAGAGTAAGGTAAGATCAATAGTTTGCTACGTTTCTTTCCTTTATCCTTTCATACGTTTAAGTTTAAATTAAGTTTACTTTTAAAAACATTTTAAAATGGTCAAAATGGCTCTCTAATAGTCATCTTATATCCCTAAATTGTCTAGAAATGCTTTAAGGGAAACTAAGCTTCTTAAAACTATGCAATAAAACTCCAGGAACCACAAGTTCAGCTAAAATTCCCTCATGCCACTTGACAGAAAAAAGTCTTACCAGTCGATTTAAATGTTCTTAAAAGATAGCCAGTCTTAACGTCTTAATGATGCTGACAGTTTCGATGACTGTCAGCCATATTTATCAAAACTTGAAAAACATTAAAATTGTCAGAAGCCTTAAATAGGCTTCTGAAGGTGTTAATTATTATTGCGATAAACGCGCGAAGTCACTCTGTAGACGCCCCCTCCCCCCCCCCCCCCCCCCCCCCCCCCCNTGGCTATGTGTTAAGAACATTTAAATCGACTTATTAACTTCACTAGCCTGATGAATTTCTTCAAAAAAAAAAAAGTCTTACCAATGGCAACACGTGTGCATGCAGCGTTACCGTTACAAAATCTTTAAGAGACTGTCGTCAAGGCTTGCGTTATATTTTGAATTTTAATGGGCCAATTGTATGACAACGTTCCCGAAATATACCTGACTTTTATCCCATGTTTTAAAGACCGGAAAAATGATTGGTAACGGAAGTTTCAATTCTACCTTTTCTGCTAGATCTTTAAATGAAATTAATAACACTGAAAGACCATGCCTACTCCATCCTACTCCATAAAAATCTTCACTAGTTCATCCGTTACTACAAAATTCAGCACGAATCACTTTTCATCTTTTCCTATTGTAATTTTAGTAACAGGCCTTTGCTCTTCATATAATGCATTGCGTATCTAAAGGAGCAAAATTAGTAATATTTACCCGATACAAGTCATTCGCGACATTTATTTCTAGGCCATTAATTTGTGATCTGCCTTAACGGAAACGGAAGTTTCATAAAAATCGCGGACACCAGTTCACTGTAGTCAAAAGCAACAAAACTGATCTGCAGTGAGAAAAGTTAGTGTAGGAATCTAATTTAAGTCCTTTCACAGAATTGTATCGATTAGTATCCATGCGGTATTGCGCGACAAGCAAAAATATACCGCAACATTCTATACCCACGTGCACCCTCTCTGCGGACATAGCAAAATGCATGACACATTTGACCTTGATTCCCTTAAAGCTTACTGCATACAGGATCCGGTCAGGACCTGACAGGATCAGAAATAGGCCCTGTTGCTATTTATTTGGGCATATTTTAGGTATTTATCAGCGAAATGATTATGGGAAACGATTTGAGTCCGCAAATATTGCCATGGACACCAAAACATGGTACCTTACCCAATTAACTTGAAATGAGTGTGTAACACATTTAGTAACACACTTACATTCTACCCTATCTTTCAGATGGAAAGTACATTTTTCCTTTTGTTCTTTGCCTTGTGCGCATTTACATCTTTGGTGAGGTGTGCAGAGGAACCTCAAAAGGGAGGGGCAGAGCAACTACCAGGTAAGGGAAAAGTCTCAATTAACTGAAATATTCCATAACCTCACCAACAAAAATTCTCAAATAACTGTGAATAATCGCTGGTTTTACCAGAGCATAAGGTGTTGGTCAGCTATATTGATGGCTGTTGGTGTTTAGGCCACTCTGAGTTGCCCCAAGCTTCTGTTTCAAAGCGAGTCTAAGTGCCAAGCTGTTGGTATAAATGATTTTTGGAAGTGGCCCATTGCGCAAAATCTCCCGATCTCACCTTAAATGACCCCTGGGCCTAGCGCGACTTTCAACCAAGGTCTTTAGTTAATGGGTAAAATCATGCTGACTGGAATAAAGACCTTGTCTCAGGTTAGCCTGTGTCAGGTTCTCAGAGACTAGGTAGGGGTGTCTCGAAAACAAGTTTATTGTGGAAAAATGTGACGCGCGAGTGTTTTCCAATCAGTTTCACAATCTCTGCAAAATACTATTTTGGAGCTTGGAAATGCTAAACTCAGGTCAGATGATCTCGTCTTTTGCCAGTGAAGTAAAGCTGTCCGTCTATAGTCTCTGGCCTTATTGACGCCAATTAGAAGGGAAAAGAGAAGACCCCTGGTGTGAGTCGAAAAGAACAGGGCAGGTAGACTGCGGTCAAGTGCGGTATCATGGTCTATCTGCTATTGGGTTTGGGTGGGTGGAGTCAGATCACACATGGGATAAAACAGCAGCCAATTGCTCCTTAATTTGGTGACGTCCTATCACCCCCTCAATTCAGCCATCAGCTTCGAGGGATAGAAGAATCGGAACCAGTAATTTTCCTTCTTTTAGGCACCTTCAAAATGTCTATTTTTGTATGCTCTTCTTGGTAGATTCACACCACAGCCCTGGAGGTGCAACATCTCTTTATGGCGGGGACATCAAATTCACACCGAAACAAAAGGAAAACATGAAAAAGTACGGAACTCCGAACGGTCCACAAACACGAGCAGCCAGCAACGTAGACAGTGAAAGGTGGCCCAACGCTGTCATTCCTTACGTATTTGATTGCTCTGTTGGTAAGCTAAATAACTAGAAATACGTTAAGCTACATAATAAACTTTCGTCTTACTAGCTGTCTACATTTCACTTGAACAAGCATTGCAAAGACAAACATAATCCTTGTGGTTTGTAACGGTCAGCTAACCAGCCGAAGTGGTGACTGTGGTCGGTAATATCAGCTTAAAAAGTTATCTATTTGTAAACCTTTTGTGGGGTACCAGATCCCCATTGTATTGGAACCTGTAAAAATAAAACAAGGTTTCTTTAAAAATTTACCCGATCGAAGAGCTTAGAAACTTCTGCGAAGCATTGGTAAACCTCCTTTAGCTAAATGTCGTACAGAGGTCAACCGTTACTTATTTCGTTTTTCTTTTGTTAGCCAACATGGAAAGCGCGGTCGCCGCAACATTGCAAGCTATGAGGATGTGGGAGAGCAAAACATGCATACGCTTTGTTGAGCGAACCACGGAGAAGGCTTATCTTGAGCTCTTCAGAGGACAAGGGTGAGTCGGGAAGTTGCATGTGCTAGGCCCCGCCCCACTCTTCCCTATTTACTGATTGAGTTTGCTGCCATTTTCTTAAAACAATATTAGAGACCTTTAGATTTGAGGAGGAGAACGACTACGAGAACGAGATTTGATTTAAAGTTTTTTTGCGTATTATTAAAAAAAGACGCCCCAGAAAGCTTAATTGTATTTTGTTTTCCACCAGAAAGAGATGGTGCTGNAGCTTAAAAAGTTATCTATTTGTAAACCTTTTGTGGGGTACCAGATCCCCATTGTATTGGAACCTGTAAAAATAAAACAAGGTTTCTTTAAAAATTTACCCGATCGAAGAGCTTAGAAACTTCTGCGAAGCATTGGTAAACCTCCTTTAGCTAAATGTCGTACAGAGGTCAACCGTTACTTATTTCGTTTTTCTTTTGTTAGCCAACATGGAAAGCGCGGTCGCCGCAACATTGCAAGCTATGAGGATGTGGGAGAGCAAAACATGCATACGCTTTGTTGAGCGAACCACGGAGAAGGCTTATCTTGAGCTCTTCAGAGGACAAGGGTGAGTCAGGGAGTTGCAAGTGCTTGGCCCCGCCCCACCCTTCCCTATTTACTGATTCAGTTTGCTGCCATTTTTTTAAAACAATGTTAGAGACCTTAAGATTTGAGGAGGAGAACGACTACGAGAACGAGATTTAATTTAAAGTTTTTTTTGCGCATTATTAAAAAATAGACACCCCAGAAAGCTTAATTGTATTTTGTTTTCCACCAGAAAGAGATGGTGCTGTTATCGTTATTGAAGAAGGTCGATCGCAAAATGATAAAGCTTCTAACATTTGATAACTGGTTTTCACCACTACAACATTAGGTACCTTAAGCAACGACGACAGCGACGGCGTGAAAACGAAAAAACTGAATTTGCGTTCCTTCAAACTTATTATCGTCTATTTGCACCCATCCAATATGTCAAATGCAGGCGACTTTTCCTAGAGTTGAATTCTAAAGGATTTTATTCATGTTCAAAAAGAGGAAGGAAATTTCGTCGTCGTATGTCCACGTCCTCCATAAAACGCCAAATTAGGAGGTTTCACGTCGTGGTCGTGCAGTGGACGTCAAAGAAATGTACTTAAGAGCGTGATGCACGTGCAGAGTTGTTGTTTTGGTCATTAAACCTATTGTTTTTTGAAGTTGTTGTTGTGTTCGTCGTCGTAGCTGCACTAAAACTAGTAGTATAATGACGAAGCCTATCACGTTTTCCCGCCAAAATGAGGCTGGTCCACGCGTGCGCACTAATTAGTATTGAGAAAATCTCGTACTCGTAGTCGTTCTCGTCTGAGAATCTAAAGCTCTCTATTATGTGGCAGCACGGCCTACATGTTTCTAATGTAAAATATTAAACTCATGCAAGGAGGAGTGCGCCATGTTTTTTGAATCAACGCCCAGAATGTGGATCGAGTTTTTGTTTCAGTCAGTTCTCAAATGATCAATACATTCTTAAAGAAATTCAAAGCAAAAATTGAAAAAGACAATTAAATTTCAACCCTCGTTTACGCACGATAATTTGAATTTTTTAACTCCTTTTCTTTTCGTCCCTTGTTTTCTTTTGCAAATTTTTTCGTGAAGGTATTTACTTCTGAAGACAGTGACAACGGATTGTCTTTGTTTCACCATTTTTTATTTCCAACTTTGAATCATGCTCTTATCAATCGTTTCTTTTTTTGTATATTATTCTTAGTTGCTGGGGTCACGTGGGTCATCATGGCTACAAGACCCAGATCTCTATCGGCGATAACTGTGATTTCCAACACGTGATGGAACACGAGCTAGGTCACACAGTTGGATTCTGGCACGAGCAGAGCAGGCCAGATCGAGATAATTACATCAGTGTCATATGGGAAAATGTTTTAGATGGTAACTATAAGAAGAGATTTTTCCCAGTATGATAAACGCCAAATTAAACTTCCTTCTTTCATTTTGCATCGTCGAGAAAAAATAAATAAGGTATTGACCTCTATTATGATTTATAAGTGAAAATATGATCTGAGAAATACAGAGCGCTTTCACGGACTATGGACCAATTTACCTCACGACGGATGAAGTATGACACTAATTTATCTCTTTTTTTTACGAGAAATTGTCTTGACTGCACCTTTTTTATCTATCCTTTTCCCCATCATAAAATCTTATTAATCTCTTTATATTAATCTTGTAAATTCTACATTAAGTTAAAATTGCATTATGACTGTTAATAGTAAAAGTATACTTGGAAATTATTTGAAAGTTTTCAAAAAGCCAAGTCATTAATACTTTGCCCGATTTGAAGCCAGTGAAGGTGAACTAGTGGTTTGGATCGTGGAAAATGTAGCAAAAGTCTATGTATTAGAATTCATCAGGAACACGCAGAATAAAGTCTCACATGGATTGGAAGGTGTAATACCCCGGTCATGTAAAAGCACTTTCAAGAAAATCGTCTATGGCTTTTTATTTTTTCAGGATTGGCAAGTGCGTTTGAAAAGCGTAAATGGAACACGGAGGTGGTAGATTTCGGAGTGCCGTACGACTTTGCCTCTATCATGCACTATCCCTTCACAGCTTTCTCCAAAAATGGCAAACCCACCATCCGCAATATTGTTGATATGCAAGGAAAAACACCTTACATTGTATTAAGTGATGGAGATGCAAGACAGACAAATGCTATGTACAAGTGTAACGGTAAGGAAATACTGCATTTGTTGCGAGTTAACACGGAAAATCCGTTGCGTTCCAAATAATTTGTAGAAATAGCCTCCCTACGAAGAGGAATTAATCTGGATTCCTGAATCTGGGAAATTTTTGCTTGCGGAATCCGGAATCCAGGAAAATTCAGTACTTGTGAAATCCGGAATACAGCTCAAGGAATTCGGAATCCTACTAACGACTGGAATTCAGAATCCACGTTCCACTGACATATAGTGGAATCCAGAATCTAAGACTGTCTTGGATTCCCTTTCATGGGGCAAAAAATAGACACAATTCACCCCCCCCCCGCCCCACCCCTGCCAGTAGATAGAACACTAAAGCGGCTTGTATAGGATAGATGGGTAGTCGATACAAAACTTAATCAAGAAATCAAATGAATATCATGATGTTGTAGTTCAATTTTAAACTTGACAGTCGGAGGGATCACCTGCGAACATAAACTAAAATAAGCCTTCGAATACAGCCGTCTGTCCTCTGTCCTCGCTTCTCGCTCCTCGCCGCTAGGGGCGTTTCAGAGCGAGGAGAGACGAGGAGCGAGGAGAGGCGCCTGTATTTAAAGGTCAGAACAAAATCAAAACAAGAAGACAAACTAAGTATACTTGACAAAATTAGCAAAATACTGATGCAATGACGTGTTTTATTTATTAAGTTGTCATGGCAAAGAGAGCCATTGATCGATTCAGTTCATTTAAGCCAGCGCCTCGTGTGCAGAAAACAAGTAAGTATTACTAATAATTAACCCTGTAAACCCTAATATCAAAATTCAAATTCTCATTCATTCTATATATTCCCTATAGAAGCAGATGGGAAAAGCTGTAAAAGTGAAAATATAGGTTATCTTCTTTGATCCAGTCCTTATTTCTCTGTACCACTGTGTTTTATCTAGCAAAAATATTTCAAGGAGAAATTTGATGCTGATAACTCGTAGGACGTAACGAGTTAACTACAAATATGATACGTCATAATTCATTTCACACGTCTCAAGTATATTATAATCCAAACAAAAAATTGTGTTATTTGTGTAAATTTGCATTTTCTTGAATTTTATTCTAGGCTGAACTCTATTTATGCTGCTTTCGCAGCTCCGATCTTATCTCTTTCCGGGAAGACAAACTTTTTGGACGGGAAACGCTGATTTTCACTGTTAAACTATTCAGTCATAAACAGTGCGCAGATAAACAGTGTCCGTAAGGTGGAGTTGATGATACATGGGAGTTTGTGACTCGGGACACAGGAAAATGTCGAACCAGTGTCCGTATTAAGCGGTTAAATTGTAGAACAAATACATTAGCTTTTCGTAGGGACAAATGAGACTGTCCGTTACTGAGATAAGTGGGTGTCCGTAAAGAGGGGTGACTACTGTAATGACATAAAATTTAAATTTCATTATTTTTCTCAGGTAATCAGTGCACTGACAAATCAGGCAGATGTGCTTCATATAAGAAAAATGGCCTGTGTACTGCGCATGCGGATAATATGTTGTATTGGTGTCCTGTGACTTGTGATATGTGTAGTTCAGGTAAAGCTTTCAGTTGTTGTTTGCAAATGTAAATATAAAGATAAAGATATTTTATTCGTGTAGCGCTTAAATCAAATACATATTCTAATTAACAATTATTCCACAAGGGCGCGTTGGATATGAGATGATAGATAGCCAACGAGGCGCGTAGCGCCGAGTTGGCTATAATCATCTCATATCCAACAAGCGCGAGTGGAATAATTGTTTTATTAAAAACGCCCACAAAATCTCGTTGAATCTCCCCGACTAGAACAAACCGGAAAAGACAAGGGACTTCCGCTATTCACATGTCACACGTCTATCAAAACTGTCAACGCGCGAACGGACTCGCCTGGACTGCATGAATGAAAAATCAAAACATTGTAGCGGTGAACATTAGTTTTTTAAAAAACTTATCGGGATTCTAGGATTTTACACAGCAGAACAGCTAAAAAAAACCTGGCAGATCATGTGAAGGAAAAGAATTTTGAAGTGACAGCAGTCGAAATTACTGTGAATTTGGATTTTTGGTGCAGTTATAAAAGTAAGAACAACGAAGAAAAACTATTACCTCGGTCGCTTGTTATGAAGTTGTTTGAAGCCACAAGCTGGTTTTGCTGAACAAGAAAAGAAGCTATACTGCCGCCTCGATTGCTCTAGTGAATGGCTGCATAGCCTGTATTTGTAGCTGGTTACTTGTGATTTATATTCTTGATGTCGAATAAACAAGCCGCAGTTATCTATCGGCGAGTGACTCGATCGGCGAATGGCTTCGCGATCATGGAGAAACAACACTTGTCTTCTTTCGTAGCAGGTCAAGGTACTTTAGTTCCATGTGTTTTCATGTGTTTTTCGACAAACTTTCAAACAAGCTTTTGGGGCTTTTTTGTTCGTTTTTGTCTTTTTTCTTTAGATGAAATTGCATTTCTAGTATTCTAAGAAATGAATTACAACGATTTGCTTCGGGCTATCCTTCGCGAAAAAATTTTTTACTTAGCTTCCAATTTTAAACTGACGCGTACACCGACCATATATGGAGAGCATGGTATAATAGCTCATATACCATAACGGCTGAGCCAATCAAAATGCTAGAATTGCATTATCCAATGATTCAGTTTTTAATAAAGCACTATATTGTTGCCGACAATAGCAAACACATAACAAATAGTACACAAAGAGAGGATAAATACAAACCAAAAGAAAATAAAGAGAGGGGGACATAAGAGTAGCAGATAACACCAATGATTAAGCTTGTAGTCGTAGAATCCTCAGTGATTTTGGACGGCATAATAAGCATTTAAAGTATTTTTTCCAAAGTCACGTCTTTCGCCATGACGTCAGCCGCCTGACGTTTTCACCTGTCTGCCTCCTGCAGAGGCTTTCGCAAGGCTTCGCGAGGAGCATGGGACAAGCGAGAAGCGCGAGAGCTGGAGACAAGCGAGAAGTGCGAGAGCTGGAGACAAGCGAGAAGGGCGAGAGAGGAATGATGGGAACGAGCGCACTGCACGAGGGGGGAGTGATGGGAAGTAAAACTGGAGAAGAGAGAAAGGCGAATTTGTTAGTGGCTTCTTTTTTCTCCCCTTGTCATCACTCCTTTCGCCCCAGCTTTCCTCAATAATTAACTCAAATATCCCCCTAAAAAGTGCACGTGATTGCGAGCCACTGGCCACGAGGCAGCCAAAGTGTTACCCCGCCAAAACTTTCGCAGGTCATTTGGACGATGTTCAGATCTTTTGGGTGTGCATGCGAAAAAAGGCTTATTGCTTCTGGCGTACTTTTGTAATGTAAAAACGGTTTTACTGTATGTTCTTGTTTCTTTTGGCTATAGATTCCTGCATGGACAAAAATGGCAACTGCCCTATATGGGCAAAAGACGGACACTGCCAGTCTAACCCTGAGTCCATGAATACCAACTGTGAACACAGCTGCAAAGTCTGTGGAGGTAGGAACTGCTAGTTATGCTTGTTACACATTATACGACAGAGAGACCGGGCAAGGTTTAACTAGACTGTCCACTGCCCCATTTTTCCACAAAATCGTCGGGATCGAGCCCGTTCCCTTTAAGGGTGACCTGTACTGTACTGGGGATGAGTACAAAAACTTCTTAGGTGGCAGGGGATGGTTTGGGACTTAGGGAGGCAAGAAAAATAGCGACAGCGCTCGATCTCGACGATCTTACTGAAAAACAGGCGACTATGAACAGTCTAGGATTGAAATGGACATTAGCAGTTTTTTCAGAATTTTGACTTTTAGTTTGATTGAGATCTCAGATCTGTCAAAACAAAGGGACAGCTGAGGAATAGCTGAAATGTTGATCAATAGATCTTTGAGTTCCCACAATTCATCTGATTAAGGGAGACTAGTCAAATAGGGCAAGTTTTCCGAAATGATGAAGCTGTTTATAAAGTACTAATAGCGATCTTAGGATACGAGGATGGCGACGGCACTGAGAACGTAAAAAAAAAACAATAGTTTTAACAAGTCCATATCATACTTTTCTTTGCACATTTCGTTGCCGTGACTGCACGACTGCGACGTGAAAATCCCTAATTTCAACTCGTTTTGCAGCAACATTACAAAACACGTTGCACGTTTTTGTTACCCGTTTTACGGTAGCTGTAAGGTCACTAATTCCAGGGAACTTACTTTAATTTCACGTATTGTCTCTCTGGTAGGTTCTACGTCACCCCCAACCGCACCTCCAACTCAACCTCCAACCACGGAGTCACAATGTATGTAAAATCGTAATACCTCATTGGGAAGTTGATTTTGTCACCCATATTTAAGGTTACTCTACCTGCGTCGCCATTTCTTCTCCGACTACACAGTCCTCGTACATGTCAGGAGTTCACAACCCGGTGCGACCAACGCCCATCTAGGACTTTGTCACTCCGTTTTCACGGACCAGTTTTATTTTTATAGTCATTTCACAGCACGTTTCCCGCGAACTGACGAAAGCTGACCGCTCTGTCTATGAGCCCATTCAAAAGGAAAATAGTATTTAGGTCTCTAGGTTTTGCTGAATGATTATACTAAATTCGCGCCAAAATAGTTCTAAAAATAGACTGGTCGGTGAAAACGGCGTGACTCGATTTCATGGAAGAGACTCACTCCGGGGTTATGGTCCCCTGTGTATATACATTTGTTATCTCTTGAAAGTTGATGTAATGTTACCTATTGCTTCTCTGGCAGGTTCTACGTTACCCCCTACCGCACCTACGACCACCCAGTCACCATCTACTGGCCAACCATCCCCATCGCCTCCTACTGGATCCCCACCCCCACCCACTGGATCTCCAGCTCCTTCCCTGGGCACTGGTAAGACGGATTTTCTTAAGATTACTATTACAGGGGGAGGCTAATTGAATCACTGGTGACTCCGTAGTTCCATCGTTGCCTACAGTTAAGAATAATAACAGGTATCACCTGCAGTAAATTAAATATCGCAAGAATGCGCCTTTACTGTACGTGACCATCGTCAAACCGGTTCTTCAAAGAACACTTTTTTTACATAACGACAAAACTGTTTGTCCCAAAGATGGAAAAAGTCATACAGTTAGTACCTATATAATACAAAACACCTCTGTAATGTGGACAGTTGTCTTGCTTCATACGAGCCCTGTTAACTTCATGTTTGAACAGAGAAAACAGCCGACCGTTTCGCAACGACACCGCATACCGCTGATTTGCTAGCCTACCCCGCTGACGTTGTTTTGGTTCGTCACGTAATTCAACGTGTGACGAAGCCCCAAGAACGTCTGCATGGGAAGCTACTGGTTTGCAAGCGAAATTATGTTTACGGAACGAGCACAGAAATTCCATGTCAATGAAGTGTTAATACCCAGATCTGGGTAGTGCTTCTGATTGGTCGTGCCGCAATGGAAATTTGCTTTAATCAATCAGAAGTACTACCCAGATCTGGGTAGTGATACGTCATCGTTATGGGTTTCTTCCCTCGTTCCTTGGACGTTATTTCGCGGGGAAACCAGAGGCCAGGTGTCGCAAAATTTTGGCTGTTTCTTAGAGTAATACCGAGGCCATTTTCTGTACTATCTAGCAAAATGGAAACCCAAGACACCTTCATTTAACCGTTAAAGCGCAATGAATTCGGTTCCCTCCTAAGGCGGCTAAGCAGTATGCTAAAAGAATAATAATGTAAACCGTCAGTCAACTTTCTGATGCTCTGAGACCCTCAGAGACTCACTAGACTTAACCACATTAGCGGGCTTACCTCTTTCATGATGAATTATCGCAGGCTTAAGATGTGCAGACAAGAGGGCTAGTTGTCCCAGTTGGGCAGCGTCCGGCCAGTGTTCAAAGTCAGGATGGACCTTCAGAAACTGTCTCATCAGCTGTAAAGCAAAATGCGACAACCAGCCCATACAGCCAACAGGTTTGCGTCATAAAACTTTGCGAGAATTATAAACAAGTATGGAGTAAAACCGTTAACTCTCGTTTTTCTGGATCTAGTGCTTTAAAATAAATTTGAATTTTCTTACAAAAATGCTTTCTTCGTAGCTCGAGTTTAAGCCACACCCAAAAAGGGTGGCTTGCGTGTTAGGAAATTATTGCGTCAATGTGGCGGGAAAACTCGTCACGTGATCTGAAAACTGAACTTTGCACGAGAGCCAGGAACCGTGTAGTCGTTCGAAGTAGTGGAGCTTGTCGAGTGTGTAGATTGAGCGTAGATCATCGAAATTTTTACGCGAATTGTTGTCGATGAATTCTTTAAGTGTAGGACAGAACAGACTTCAGAATTCCAAAATATGAACCTGTGAAGAAATATAGTTTCAAGGGAGTGAAGAATTAACGCTAAATAGAACTGGTTGGATCAAACACATAATTTGTGACACTGCGTTTGGAGGATTGGTGTCTCAGTGGTGACGTCATTTCAGAAAGACCCAAAGTTTCAGTGCTTACTAGCGTGTTAACAAATGGTATCTAATACGTATGTACGTACATCGGCTGACTGTCTCCCTTTCTAGAAGACTTAGTATATTTTTTGAACCTCGTTTGGCGTAAGGAGGAAAAAAACTTTTTTTAACTTTCTATAGTAACGTCAAGATTTTAAAAAAAGATATTTTTTACCAAAATTTTGTCTTCCTAAAAAAAAGAACACTGGCATAGTTTTTTGGTCTTATCTTTTAGGTTCATGCGCAACTCCTCTTGGACTTGGCTGGGATTACAAACTGCCTGACAGTGCTTTTAGTGCTTCATCCGAAATGTCACCAGGTAAAGAATAACACGTGTGGCTTGTTCTACCATGAAAAAAGCGGGAAATCCCTCGCGGGTGAGAAAGCCCCATTGTCTTTGCCGCTCGCGGAGCTTGTCTTATGATAAAAATTCCAACAATTTTTATCACAACTTTAAGGATAGAGACACAATACCTTTTTCTTCCCTTTTTTTGACATATTTCTCCCTCTGTTCGTTGACGATTTGTTTCTTTAACTCTTTAGTCCCCAGAAGTCGTGAAAGTCAGGTTTCGACAAAAAATTCAGATTTAACTTTGTAGAAATACTGAAAAACGAGTGTTATCTTATGAAAGTGCTTCTGCAGAGGTTTCATTTGAAAGGTCAAGGATTTCGTCCACAGACTCAAAAGTTAGAAAAAGATAATGACTGCATCAAGGACTCTGAAGAGTAATCGGTAAATCACTGATTTACTGATCTCATTTTTATGATGAAGGGGGAGGTTGGGTTGCCGGTGCAAAGAATGCTCGTTTGTACTTCGAAGACAACCACGATCAGAAGAGAATTGGAGGCTGGTGTGCTTCCAGTAGAAATCCTCAGTGGATCAAAGTGGATTTGGGCAGAGTCAAGAAGATCACTGGAATTGCTACACAAGGTGCTTGTAATATAAGGCTGTGTCATGCTTTTTGAGAATTCTTGTAGAAAATGTAATTCAGTGTTATCCTGAGATCGCGTTTTTTATTTCTCTTTGTCGTTTTTGTGTATGGTAGTGTATAAGAATTCATTAAACCAGTCAATCCATTGCTACACTAATCATAACCCCAACCAACAACATCAAAACAAAAAGAATAATAAAATGACGACGACAACGATGATGATGATGGTGATGATGGTCGAAAAGTATCAAAATCTTAACAGAGAACTGATGCAAATCTGTGGAGTTTTGTCCCTATTGTCATTGATGAACTGGGTACATTGGCGCAAACTTTTCAAAAGAGACTAGACCAAGATTAGGGTAAACGATCTACAGGATTTAGTGCAAGTTATGCACAAATAAGGGACTGGCGAACGTTGGACACCTTAGGCCACGGGACGTGGCTAGATACCAACATAACGATGAACAGGATAATGATGATGATGATGAATGATTATGATAATGACGCGATAGCGACAATCCTTGAGCTACAGACAAAACAGAACGAAAAATAATAGCCGTGTCTTGTTTATTCACCCATCACCCTAAATCTCTACCATTCCCTGCTCCTTAATTTAATTTATTGCCTCCAGCAAATTAAAAAATAGACTGGTCGGTGAAAACGGCGTGACTCGATTTCATGGAAGAGACTCACTCCGGGGTTATGGTCCCCTGTGTATATACATTTGTTATCTCTTGAAAGTTGATGTAATGTTACCTATTGCTTCTCTGACAGGTTCTACGTTACCCCCTACCGCACCTCCGACCACCCAGTCACCATCTACTAGCCAACCATCCCCATCGCCTCCTACTGGATCCCCACCCCCACCCACTGGATCTCCAGCTCCTTCCCTGGGCACTGGTAAGACGGATTTTCTTAAGATTACTATGACAGGGATAGGCTAATTGAATCACTGGTGACTCCGTAGTTCCATCGTTGCCTACAGTTAAGAATAATAACAGGTATCACCTGAAGCAAATTAAATATCGCAAGAATGCGCCTTTACTGTACGTGACCATCGTCAAACCGGTTCTTCAAAGAACACTTTTTTACATAACGACAAAACTGTTTGTCCCAAAGATGGAAAAAGTCATATAGTTAGTACCTATATAATACAAGCACCTCTGTAATGTGGACAGTTGTCTTTGAGTGTCCCTTTAGTATCCGTAATTAGGTTTGTAATGACTGCAATAAGCAAATTAGCTGGTTATTTATAAAGCACTAGAACTTGAAAAGGGCGACCGAGATGAGATCTTTTTCCATACACCACTCGACCGGGCTGCTTCATACGAGCCCTGTTAACTTCATGTTTGAACAGAGAAAACAGCCGACCGTTTCGCAACGCCACCGCATACCGCTGATTTGCTAGCCTACCCCGCTGACGTTGTTTTGGCTCGTCACGTAATTCAACGTGTGACGAAGCCCCAAGAACGTCTGCGTGGGAAGCTACTGGTTTGCAAGCGAAATGATGTTTACGGAACGAGCACAGAAATTCCATGTCAATGAAGTGTTAATACCCAGATTTGGGTAGTGCTTCTGATTGGTCGTGCCGCAATGGAAATTTGCTTTAATCAATCAGAAGTACTACCCAGATCTGGGTAGTGATACGTCATCGTTATGGGGTATCTTCCCTCGTTCCTTGGACGTTATTTCGCAGGGAAACCAGAGGCCAGGCGTCGCGAAATTTTGCCTGTTTCTTAGAGTAATACCGAGGCCATTTCCTGTACTATCTAGCAAAATGGAAACCCAAGACACCTTCAATTAACCGTTAAAGCGCAATGAATTCGGTTCCCTCCTAAGGCGGCTAAGCAGTATGCTAAAAGAATAATAATGTAAACCGTCAGTCAACTTTCTGATGTTCTGAGACCCTCAGAGACTCACTAGACTTAACCACATTAGAGGGCTTACCTCTTTCATGATGAATTATCGCAGGCTTAAGATGTGCAGACAAGAGCGCTAGTTGTCCCAGTTGGGCAGCGTCCGGCCAGTGTTCAAAGTCAGGATGGACCTTCAGAAACTGTCTCATCAGCTGTAAAGCAAAATGCGACAACCAGCCCATACAGCCAACAGGTTTGCGTCATAAAACTTTGCGAGAATTATAAACAAGTATGGAGTAAAACCGTTAACTCTCGTTTTTCTGGATCTAGTGCTTTAAAATAAATTTGAATTTTCTTACAAAAATGCTTTCTTCGTAGCTCGAGTTTAAGCCACACCCAAAAAGGGTGGCTTGCGTGTTAGGAAATTATTGCGTCAATGTGGCGGGAAAACTCGTCACGTGATCTGAAAACTGAACTTTGCACGAGAGCCAGGAACCGTGTAGTCGTTCGAAGTAGTGGAGCTTGTCGAGTGTGTAGATTGAGCGTAGATCATCGAAATTTTTACGCGAATTGTTGTCGATGAATTCTTTAAGTGTAGGACAGAACAGACTTCAGAATTCCAAAATATGAACCTGTGAAGAAATATAGTTTCAAGGGAGTGAAGAATTAACGCTAAATAGAACTGGTTGGATCAAACACATAATTTGTGACACTGCGTTTGGAGGATTGGTGTCTCAGTGGTGACGTCATTTCAGAAAGACCCAAAGTTTCAGTGCTTACTAGCGTGTTAACAAATGGTATCTAATACGTATGTACGTACATCGGCTGACTGTCTCCCTTTCTAGAAGACTTAGTATATTTTTTGAACCTCGTTTGGCGTAAGGAGGAAAAAAACTTTTTTTAACTTTCTATAGTAACGTCAAGATTTTAAAAAAAGATTATTTTTACCAAAATTTTGTCTTCCTAAAAAAAAGAACACTTTGGCATAGTTTTTTGGTCTTATCTTTTAGGTTCATGCACAACTCCTCTTGGACTTGGCTGGGATTACAAACTGCCTGACAGTGGTTTTAGTGCTTCATCCGAAATGTCACCAGGTAAAGAATAACACGTGTGGCTTGTTCTACCATGAAAAAAAGCGGGAAATCCCTCGCGGGTGAGATAGGCCCATTGTCTTTGCCGCTCGCGGAGCTTGTCTTATGATAAAAATTCCAACAATTTTTATCACAACTTTAAGGATAGAGACACAATACCTTTTTCTTCCCTTTTTTTGACATATTTCTCCCTCTGTTCGTTGACGATTTGTTTCTTTAACTCTTTAGTCCCCAGAAGTCGTGAAAGTCAGGTTTCGACAAAAAATTCAGATTTAACTTTGTAGAAATACTGAAAAACGAGTGTTATCTTATGAAAGTGCTTCTGCAGAGGTTTCATTTGAAAGGTCAAGGATTTCGTCCACAGACTCAAAAGTTAGAAAAAGATAATGACTGCATCACGGACTCTGAAGAGTAATCGGTAAGTCACTGATTTACTGATCTCATTTTTATGATGAAGGGGGAGGTTGGGTTGCCGGTGCAAAGAATGCTCGTTTGTACTTCGAAGACAACCACGATCAGAAGAGAATTGGAGGCTGGTGTGCTTCCAGTAGAAATCCTCAGTGGATCAAAGTGGATTTGGGCAGAGTCAAGAAGATCACTGGAATTGCTACACAAGGTGCTTGTAATATAAGGCTGTGTCATGCTTTTTGAGAATTCTTGTAGAAAATGTAATTCAGTGTTATCCTGAGATGGCGTTTTTTATTTCTCTTTGTCGTTTTTGTGTATGGTAGTGTATAAGAATTCATTAAACCAGTCAATCCATTGCCACACTAATCATAACCCCAACCAACAACATCAAAACAAAAAGAATAATAAAATGACGACGGCAACGATGATGATGATGATGATGATGATGATGGTCGAAAAGTATCAAAATCTTAACAGAGAACTAATGCAAATCTGTGGAGTTTTGTCCCTATTGTCATTGATGAACTGGGTACATTGGCGCAAACTTTTCAAAAGAGACTAGAACAAGATTAGGGTAAACGATCTACAGGATTTAGTGCAAGTTATGCACAAATAAGGGACTGGCGAACGTTGGACACCTCAGGCCACGGGACGTGGCTAGATACCAACATAACGATGAACAGGATAATGATGATGATGATGAATGATTATGATAATGACGTGATAGCGACAATCCTTGAGCTACAGACAAAACAGAACGAAAAATAATAGCCGTGTCTTGTTTATTCACCCATCACCCTAAATCTCTACCATTCCCTGCTCCTTAATTTAATTTATTGCCTCCAGCAAATTAAAGACGGTGTGACTTCATTCGGCATGCATGGTCAGTGGAGATGAATAAATGTTTACTCACACATGCTTTGATTACTGAACCTATAGCTATACCTTCTTCCTTCTGTCAGGTCGCGATGTTTTCTATGAGCACGTGAAGAAGTATGAGCTGGAATTTAGCACCGACGGTGTGTCTTGGCAACCATACGAGGAGGGTGGGGCGAAAAAGGTAAATTTGTTTCCCTTATTAGTAAGGAAGTTAGGGGGAGAGAGCCCGGGAGAATATGGGCGGGGGGTGTAAGAAGCGAGAGAGGAAAGGGCGGGAGGTGGGAGTTCTAAAAGGATGGCAGGCGGGATTTATCGGGGACAAATTACGCAACAATGCTTAATATTACGCAATCGAAAAAGGGGTAAAGGGAGGAGGAGCCCATGAAAAAAGTGGGGGAAGCCCGGAATATTAGTGTATTTTAACTTCCTAAGGGGTTCTTGTCGAAATTGTAGTACAGGGGTACGTTTTTCTTTACCTAGCTCTAAAATACCTGAAACATCTTTAAAACACGTACGCAGTGAACAATACGCAGTGAATCACTGCGTATTGAAGTAAACACATTCGACTCCTTGAATACATTTCCCGGCCCTCTTGGATCTCCCAAGTATGCAATAATTCTCGGGTGTTTTTTTTTATTATTTTTATTATTTTTTTCTCACTGATAATCTTTGTGGCTCTAATTTTGTTGTTGTTGTTTTTTCCTTTTTGTTGTTCAGGTGTTTGATGGTAACTGTGACCACTTCACGCCAGTAATAAACAGGTTTAATCCTGTTAGAGCCCGGTTTGTCAAGGTTATTCCACATGACAACCCGCAAGGTTGGATGTGCATGAGACTTGAATTCTACGGCTGCGACTCATGATCAGGTACGACATGGCTTCTTGTTGACTTGTTGAAATGACCTGCAATCAGATAATGCCTTATTCCAGATGATGGCACCATAAGGCCATGATATTATAAACCTTTTAATTCATTTACAGAGAGACATTGACTATCGGTTAAAACCATTCAAATGAAACCTCTTGTTGTACTATTACCCTTTGAAAGATTGGAGAGTTCTTTTTTTTCTTTAAATTTATTTTTAATCCGGAGCTTAGCCAACCTTGGAATATAAGCTTGACTAAGTGACTAACTGACTGCCATTTAAGGCAATTAACACAGCTACTGAGCCCAGTAATGCGTAAGGGAAGATTTCAAGACAGTTTGAAAATTTGAAAATTTACAAGGATTTGTATGGAAAGCCACTCATGCGTGACTCGGTAGCAAGACCTGTTTTCCCCATACAAATTCAATTAATTTCGGCAGTCGTTGTAATCGTTTCTTTCGAGATATACGGCTGAAAATCAACGGGTTGCTTAATTTTATATGCTCCTTTAGTTTCTGCTGAAATCATTTTTCCAAAGCAAGAACTGTTTTCAGACTCATACCCAGCCCTTCTCTTGTTTGCGCGATGATTCCTCCCTCCTTCCCAAGCGCCTTTGCGTGCATTAATATCTTCCCAGATTTCATCAATGACGACTGGGTACGAGTCTGTTGCAAAAGGCCAAGAGAGTGAATAATGGGACAGAGAAGAAATCTTTGGGCTTTGTCCGGGATATGTGAATTTCTCTTAAGTTATTTTTAGAGGTTGTAATTAAACAGAAGTCTAATTCCTGGGACGTCCGCACATTTCAATCGATTGTTTGAAACGTAATTGAGTTGACGCAAGATCGCCTCAAAGCAAACAAAAATAATGCAGAATATTGTAATAGCGACACACCAAGAGAGGATAATGTCCCTTCTTCTCTCTTGATAACACTCAATAATAGATTGCAGACTTCTCCGGAAACCAAATTCCAATTAAGAGCCAGTCTCTGTAAGATCCTCATATCGAGTTTTGCCCACAAAATGGATTTCGCTCATATTTTTTCTGTAGACTTCTTTTAATAACTATATAACAAATATGAAACTAGACTGGAGAAATTCGCTTCTGTAAATTTTTTTTAACGAATTTTCTTTCGGCGCCACATGAGGACCTGAGATGCTTGTGAAATATGCAAATTTTGTCAAAATTCAACCGATTGCTCCGGA